TTCTATGTTTTGTTACCTTAACTGATAGATTAAGCCCATGCCAAGAGATGCACACTTCCTGAGGAACACCTTCCTCACAACTTTCTTTAGTAGGAAAGCAGTTACTGTAATACAGTAGAAAAGTTGAGCAAATATACTGATGCCATTGGCATGTTGTATGTCAAAAGAGTGTAATGAAATGAATTCCTCTCTAGAGGAATCTTGGGGTGGGAGAGGAATTCCTTTTCCCATTGTTGCGGTTCAATTCATCTTTTGCAATTGGTTTATGATTTGATTTATTTCCAAATTTCAAACGAGTTTTGACTGTGAATTTAACTTGTGGAAGAGTAGATAGAATGCCTGTTCAAAGAACAAGACTGTTGGTTTTACCATCCTGATCTGTCTTCCCGTAAGACTACACACAAGCTATCCAGGGAGATCCCACTACCAGTTACTTGCTCTCCTGCCCACCTTTGAGTCTCCTCCAATGTTTTTGCTGCTGCATCCAAAGAGATGGGCCCCCCGATGTAAACCCACCCTCTTCCCCAGTCGACGGGTCAGACATTCCCAGGAGACATCCCCTTTTGCGGACGTTGGGCTGAACAGAGGATCCACATCCCCAAAGGAGGCATGGCTTTCGGTCAGGCACAGAGGCCCATTATCCCGGCTCCTCCCTCTGCTGGAGTCAGGAAAAACTTGGTCCTTTTAAAACCAAGGAGCAGAAGTCTATGGACTGATGCTGCATAAGAGTGAGGTTTACTATCTACTCGGTAACCTCTGATTTTAATGGAATCTCCCAAAAGAACTTTTCCTTCTTAAAATGGCTGTTTTTATAGGAACAGGTAACCAGTCCATGACTGCGTGTAATCTCAACTGGGCATGAACACATCATACTGTCTTTAAACTATTCTTGTACATTGTCCTCTTTGCCAGACATCTTCCGTTTCACCTTCTTTGGTGAAATATGTTTTGTAAATTTCCCATTCCAGTTGCCAGATCTGACACTGTGATCTGAGCAGCTGTATAATTCATCTTCACCAACATTGACTAATAAAGACTTTGACTATTTGCCTCTTGTGAGATTCAGCCATCTCCCTAAAAGGGGGAGAAAGGGGGGAAATCTTGAGCCACATACCTCTCTGTTATATGGGGAACAGGTTATATTATAGCAACTATTTCCATTGTTGCTTTTGTTTCAGAGCAGGGTGCCGAGATCTAGAGGGCTTCTGGGAAAAGGGTTAAGACCTCCAGCCTGCATGGTATGGGCTATTCAGCCTGCTGAAGCTGCCATGAGTGAACATACCTCTGAAACCTTCAGGAGAGAATCTTCAGGCACAATGCAGAGTTAAACTTTTGGGTGCCCTTTGGGAGTTCTCTTGAATCCCTGGAAAGCCACCAGCAACAAGAGATGGCCCAGACACTTTATGCTCTGCCTGTCAAACTATTCTGGTTGACTGCCACGTTGTCTAAGGAACTCTGGGAGATGAAGGTGAAAAGTGATGCCAGGAAGACTGGCATAAGAAGACAAGAAGTCATTCTGTCCAAGCACAGGTCTCAGTTCAAACTGGACCCTCTAGTGTGGTCATAGGGGAGCCAAAGTATTGTTGCTCTTCCTCCCTTACCACATTGATGGACTGTCAGGCAGCAGCCTTGTTTAGGGTCCTCTAGCCCTTTTAGGCAAGGGGCAGCAGGTAGATCTCCCACTTGGTGGGATTTTGCAAGTGGTTGTTTTTAAAGAGACATCTTCTGACAAATTGTGGTATACACCTCCTCCTTAGAAGGCCCTCCTTGAATCTGATGGTACTTGAAAACGACTGCTCTATCTCTAATCCTTACTTCTTTGGGAAGGCTATTAAGGTTACGAAGAGAGATTATCTGGATCATTTTCTTTCAGAGTTCTGGCCTGGGCCTGGGATGAAGACAGCACTGGCTTCTCTTCTTAGCACCTAGATGGAGGAGTGTGCCCTTTCTGGCCCTACTGGAGCTCACTGGCAGCCTCCA